TTCGCCTTCGATTCCGACGAAACGAATATGCATGAAATACATCGCTAGCGAAGCTCACCCACGCGACCTATAGCGCTATTATACATACGTGCATGCATGCATGCATACAGTCGTGGTACAAACACGCAGCCTACATACCATCTGCGAAGGAACATCGCATTGCATGCTTACGTCTCAAACGAGGTCGTCCGCAAGGTATCCACAGAGAAAAGAATAAGAAACACGAACTCCACACGCGCCGATCCCTCTTCGTCATCTATGCGGAGTAGCGATAATATCCGCTTCGTCACTGATGAACAGCATAGTTGTAGTTGTAATGGTGTGGAGTGTTGTTAATTCACGCTGATACTGATTAAAATATCAGCGGTGCCAAGTCATATCGAATACCTGTTGTGTCCGCAGTAGCGCTGCTGAACGCCTGCATCGTGGTCATCATGCCGATCACTTATACAGCACGAGAGTATTACTGGGCGCACGCCCCTGCCTATCTCAGTGGAAAACGATGACACATTCGGCCGCAGAATTACCACCAGTTCATTTTTCGTCCGAAATACCTTGCGGGGGGTAAAACAGGCCCCATGACCGTACACAAACAACTTGGTCTTCATTTCAGCGTGCGGAGGCTTTGAAAGTGCGGGGTGCATCAGCTGCCCCCCATGGCTCTTCGCTCTTTCGAGGGATCAAATTTTTCTTACCCAGATTGGGACGCATACATAAGCTGTATGTTCCGTTATTGAAGGCCGCTTCACAAAACCAGCGTAGTATGGGAAGGAGCCTGGAATTGGGTCCGCAATCCCACGTCCACATCCGTGGAGATCGCCCGGGTCCCCGTCCTCAAGGCTGAACGTGAGCCGCGGGAAGGCCAAGAAACACAGTTGCTTGGAGGTAGACTGTAGATGCGTCGCAAACAAGATTTCCTCACGCTGTCCTTTAAGCCTTGTATCACATGTGCCGGGGGACAGGTTACTGGGGCCAAACCCCCAAGTTCTCGTCAGTCGAAGGGAAATGATGTCGGACTTTCTTGTCGATCGCAAGCCTCCATGACGTGAGTCACACAAATGCGTAAGTCAGATAAACATAGAATAATGGGATTCACACACCAGATATCACGCTTCTAGAACAAGGGCTAGATGCCTTATGTTGGAGGCACCACCTGTGATCCCAACAACTCGGAAGAACCAAAACCGTGACGTTACGAACTAGGCGCCGTGAAATGGCGCCTCACGCAGGTGACACGTACTTCCGTATTGCCTAGTTATTTCCGTGTGAACCAATACCCTTGGATCCGCGCATGGCAATTCCGAATCTGGCGGGAAATTGCGGCGGTCATAATGTGCGACAAAGATTTTTCAAAGCGTGAGGCGAGGTATCATTCATGAAGGTTCAGGAAATGATACAGTCTTCTCTAAGGTTCAGATTGTACATCGTCTTATCAACAACCTTCTCGATCTTCTTCCAGTCGCTGCGCCGCTGTATGAACTCGTAGATGTCCTGAAAGGTGAGCGACGTGAACCGCAGTAACACATCATCAAGCGCGGTTGCCCACCTCGGGACGATACGCCCCCCCGTAACGTGTCACGTCACGGACGATTTGCGCGAGATCTTTCGCGTCTTCCACAATGAATACATGGCCGAGCATCTTGAGATTTGCAAAATCTGATGTCAAGGATTGAATCTGCAGCAATGCACGTGTAAGAAGCGCGAGGATGGTAAGAATATATAAAATAAATGAAGAACGAATTGACTTTTAGCGACGAAATGAAGGTGTGGTAAGCATTCAGATCGGCAATGACTTGAAAGCCTCCGTTCAGCGATATAATTTGGCGCTTGATGTGCTTCTGTAAAATCCTGTATTTCAAACATGAAGTGTCTCAGTTGCTAATCGAAAGGAACTTCCAGTTAGTTACCCGATCAGCCTCACGCCAACCTCGCCCTCGAACACTTCCAACACTTCCCGGTTGACGTTTCCCTGAAGAAGCCGTATGTGCTCCTCGAGACACTTTATAGCTTCCGTGCAGCCTTTAGATGGGCCCAAAAGGAGGGGTGCTTCTTCCGGTGGGTAATACGTCCGCGGGGGGGTGAGGGTCGTAATGATGTGATCCACCTGGAACAACTTCTAGTCGGCTACTCCATGTAAAACCAGAGATCACTGACCTGGCTCATCAGAACCTCGATACCTGCATTGAGTCCTTTTGCGACCGAATCATCGAGCAAGTTCTCGAAGCGCTTCTTTTCTCTGACAACCGGGTTTAGGAAGTCCGTTAGGTCAACGTGAGGGGCCTATCGTTGCATGGTCAAATGAGTTTGGTGACGATTACGTGGACCGGAAAAAACGGGAGGGGGGGAGCCGTACCAGCTCTTTATCGAAGTACACTTGAACAATGCTCTGGATCATGTCTCCGATATGAACTAACTCGAAGAATTGCACTAACGGTGCAACCGAGGTCGACGCTGACGCCAGCCTCTCTGGATCCGAGGTAGCATCCGAAAGTGCAGGCGGTTGATACGCCCGCATCTGTGTTATGGCCCTGTCAAACCCGCGGTGAACACTAGGTCCGTCCGTTCATGCGAAAGAAATGAATGATCAACGCACAATTCAAATCCGTTTCGCACATGTCGTTCGCCAAGAACGCCCAGCATTTCAGTGGCCAGCTCCTCAATTGTCTCCCGTACCCGAACACCGTAGGTCCCAGGATAGCCAACAAATATCTCCACGCGCTTGAGCGAGTCCCGCGTACCGTGTATCAACTCGAGGGTGAGATCGAGGGAAAGAAGGAGTTGAAGATTGTCGTAGGAGCGAAGTCGCGGTGGCTGTGGGGACGCAGAGGTGGTTGTAGGTGCTGCAGCGTCCTCACCAAGTTCGCTAGTGACCTCTTCGGGGCTGTCTTCGGGTTCATCCTCCCAAAGCACGACTGCGGTACTATCTGTCCCCTTGGTATAACCCTCTTTTAAACCGTTGCCAGTTGACTTGCCCTGCCCCGCCCCAACGCCGCGGATCGAGCATCGCGATACCATGAACGGCGGCACCCGAAACGGTCTCAACCGTGCGTGGGACAATAGAAACGGGGATGAGCAGGAGGTTGGTGAAAGTCGAAAGGACACTGCTTTTCAAATGAGCGGGGGAGGAGGCGAGAAAGGTAGGCTGTTGCGAGGCTAGCAGGGGGGATGCATCGGTATGTACACTCGTCTGCGCGTAACGAGCGTCTAAGATGAGCTCAGGAGACTGAGTACGAATTGTGGGGAGGGACAAACGATACCTTTTTCTCCCAATCTCGGTACGTATGCCCAAATGTTTGCTTCAGTGAATCTATTTCTTCATCGAGATACTCATCCATGTTGGGTTCAAACATCCTATACCTGAACCGATCACAAGATGTGAGCCATGGATCGATCGTGACATGCATAAGAAGCGAAGACATATCGTGCTCCGCGTAAGGGTAGAGGGGAACACGTACACGACGTCCTCAGCTTGTGCCTTGCTGACCTCCTTGTCCGCGGTGGGCGGATGCCGCTGACTGGCTAGTTCAAGAAGGGTATCCACTATACGCCAAGCTTCCCTAAAACATGCTGCTGTCGCTTTCAAGAACAAAGTACCATTTGCCAATGAGCGTGCGTGAGTGAGAAGAGGTGCGATGTATTCGGAAACCTAGAAACACGCTGGGATGAGCGGGGACATGGGTTTTACACGAGGTTCAGCAACGTACTACTTCCGTTGCGATGCGATCTGCAAAAGACAGGAGAACACCTGCAGCTGGTGGAAAGACGCGCACAGCGCGGGAACCATGCTCCCGAAGCGCGTCTAGGACAAGGCCCATGAAGGCGTCCATGGCCTCAAAATTCAAACTGCCCTCTGAACTGTTTCGTTCGCGTTATTCACACAGCTTTGGGCGGCGTGGTAAACGAACACATAACATACGTGAAATTGTCAAGAGGCTTGTGTGCACTTGTGACGTAGAAAATCTCCCGTTTCTCAGCCCACACACGCCCCATTTCCCATTCCGCGACCCCCCCGCTTCCGCTTTCGTGTGGGTCCCAGATTTCCCAGCTCGCTTCCGCGGCCTCGCGCATACCTGTCTCATCGGCCCGACCATCCGAAACATCGAACGCACTGAGCAAGGCGGCATCAAAGCGGTCAGAAGCAGCGCGGAGAGCGGACAGCAAGGAGGGTGCAGATCGAAGGGGTTCGAGGTGGAAAAGAAATAGGTGGAGAAGATGAAGGGTCTTGGAGCGATGTAACAGAGAGGGGGGAGGGGCTGATGCGATTGTAGGTGGGAAGAGTGATGCGAGTATCTGATGAGGGGGTTCGAGTAGGGCCGGAGTGAGATTTCTTAGGAGTCTGTGCGCGCGCATATAGAGAGCGCGGAACGAGGTAGCGCCGAGGACATTCGTGCCGTGCATCACTGTCTCGCTGCCAATGAAATTACCCACTTCAGCTAGAGAGGTAGAAATTCCACTCTGCGTTGGAAACCCGCCCAGGCCGAAACCAAAGGCATCCGTTCCAGATGTAAAGTCGCCAAAATCATCTTCTGCAACGTCTACGGTGAGGGTTGGGGGTTGTTCTGGTGCCTCCTTTCGAGCACGGCTCTCGAGTTCGTCCAGAATAGGTCCGAACCCATGGCGGTCGATGCCTAGGAGGTTGTAGTGATGCTCCCAAAGTGGTTCAGAGGAAGCGAGCCGAGCGAGGGCACGATTAGTGCGCGCGTAGGCTGGGACATCGGGCACAGGGATGTACTGAAGAATGAGCAAGTGAAGAGAGGATGGAAGTCTCCCAATAAGGGGTGTTAACCTGGGACTTTGTACAAATCTCGGCGAGGCAGACGCAGAACCCAAACCCTGGTGGAGTTTGACCGGTTCAAGTGCCTTAAACTTGTCCATTCGACGTCGGCTGTCTCGGACGGTCGACGACGCACTAGACGGGATGACAGCAGAGGACAGGTTACGAGACCTTCCAATCTCGTTTAGCGCCGGATTATATTGCGACTGTCAAACCCATCATCGGTGGCCCAATGGTCTAGTGGTACGATGCTCGCTTTGGGTTATGCCGATTCGGCTTTACACTTTGCGAGCGGTCCAGGGTTCGAACCCCTGTTGGGCCCGACGTCCTTTTTGCTTCCCCTCAACCCACTATCGATATGATTCTTGCGTAATCTAATCCCTCGGAAACATTTTAGAACCTCAAAGACTTGCATAACACTGGTCCATTGCGCCATAATTTCGAATACCTGGTCACTGCTGTACTGGGCCAAGTTTGTTGTCTCCGAGTCATGCACGAGGCGCAAACAAGTAGTACTCGTATGACTTCCGATGAGGTTGAATTCACACCGTACAATTCCAAGTTATATTTGCATCATACTGCGCATTGCGTAAACTCGAAGTGACGATCTTTCCATCCAATAGGTACTCTATCTGAGTCTCCTGGGGCGAAAGGACCCTACGCGGGGCCTGGAAAGGTGCCCCACCTAGTCCTTCGTGCATGCGCCGAAGGAAACCGGTTCGGAAACCGGCTTGGTAACGGGGGTCTATCTCAGGGGGGTGCAGTACAGCTGACGATCTCGTTGTATGTGAGCAATGGGGGAGAAGCGCTTATGTTTGTCGCCTTCTGCGATGTCACCGGAAGACATGACATAGTACTGGAGGGATCCAGTGAAACGCCCACAGGAGAACCTCGCGAACAAATAGTCATCGACTGTGTCCACGGTTTGGTCGAGTAATGTCCGGGGTGAGGTAAGATGGCTAGTGGGGTCCGGAGATCAGCGTCAAGCTATCCCAAAGTGTTCAGCCCCAATAGTGGGGGATCGTGGGGGAAGAGCTGAAATGAATCCGCAATGTAAGAACGGGTAAATTGATTCGATCAAGGGCGAGCAGTTGCACTGATGTGACTAGCTCGTCGGCGGAGAATAAAACCCGACATCCGATCAGATCATGACCCAAAAGCTGCTTGAGGAGATCGACGCTTTGGCGGGGTTGTAGCCGGGGAGGTGAAGAAGATACAGTAGTCGACGGTGATGAATACGAATATGGAGAAGCTCGAACTTTTTCATTTACGAGACGTAAGACCACGCGTAAGCTCTTTGTTCGTGTGGGGTCACCCCGTTCAGCCAGGTGAAACTACTCTGACCTGCATGACTCTCATGAGTCGTGGCGTATCCAGAGTGTCAACGAAGCCCTGGACCAGTGCTGACGGAAGGCAGTACCACCGTACCCAATAAGTTGGCAGAGATCCTTTCATCTTGAAGAAGGAAGTAACCTGATTTGTCCCGTCCCGGGGGAAAAGATGAGAACTGTGCAGGAGGACTCACCTGGAATACAGTAGTTGGAAACGAGGCCGCGACTAACGGTGAGCTTACTTTGGGCAGAGACCGTGTTTTGTTATTTATGGGGCCATGTGTGTGCAATAAGGTCTAGTGACTGATCGATAATTGACTAACTTGCTGTATGAATGCTCGTGATCGTGATGACTTTATGAAAGTGTTCAATCGAATTTTCATTTCTGATCCGACTAGTGGGTCCAGCAAAGGTAGAGAGGAATGTCAAAATTAAGGGGACATGAGCTCCGAGTCGCCTGCACGAAATAATCCATCATCAGCTCCAGGGGGGAATTGTTGATGTGGTTCCCGCGATAATCTCGTCGTGTATTGCGGTAATACCGCACTGTACAGCAACACTTGGTCTCAGGTTCTACCTACACTCAACGGACATCATAAAACGTTGTGTACAAGTGCCCTCTTACGAGGTATGGACGATACGGAAGTGTGTTAGAACGAGAAATAGATTCGTTAATGAGTGAATGTGTGCGCGGATTGTCTGCACGAGAAGACAATGCTCAGGTATTGCGCACACTAACAGAGCAAGAGCTATAATCTATTCACCTGCACGAGAAGACAAGGGCTATCGAGCGACAGAAATAACAGACCAAGACACTAGATACGAGGACTCGCGCGGGTTTCACAACGTCCATACGAGCAGGGCGAGAAATAAACGATAAGGCAATAATAGAACTCACTTCAACACTCCCCCTCAAACTGCGCGGAGTCCCAGACATTCCGCAAAGTGTTTGACTTTCGGCGAAGGAAGCGCCTTGGTCAACGCGTCGGCCACCATGTCCGCCGTGGGGCAGTACACGAGGTGTATCGCTCTGTTCTCCACGACCCATCGAATGAAATGATACCTGACGTCGATATGCTTGGTACGTGGGTGGTCGAGAGGGAGACGATCTCCTGCTTCTTCGAAGACCAGGGAACGGCGCCGCCGTCGATGAGGAATGCATATCCCGTAATCGCGCGGCGGTCCTCCGTCATGCTGCCATCAGTGTCGGCATACCCGACCAACATGCGCTGCGTCTCGCCGTGGGTGAGCCAGAGGTCGCGCGTCCCGCAAGATAGCGGAAGATGCGTTTTACCGCGGTCCAGTGTGCCATCCCGGAGTTGGCCGAGAACCTGGCGACAGTGGACACCGCGAACGCGATATCGGGGCGGGTGGTGAGCGCGGCCCGAGTTGAGCGCGCCGACAGCCTCGCGGTAGGGCACGTCGCGCATTACCGCGAACTCGGCCGCATCCGCCGGGGCTTGCTCGAGAGTGAGCCGGATTTGAGGTCAAAGGGGGTAGAGACGGTCTTCGCATCGTCAAAGCCTGAAACGACGCAGAATTGAGTCGATGTAGGACCGCTGCGACAGATGCACGGTCCTGCCCACTCGGTCACGCTTGATCTCAATGCTGAGCATCCACTGCAGCTCACCGAGGTCTGTAACCTCGACGAGCTTCCGAAGCCCAGCCTTGAGCGCATCGACGGCTGCGACACTGTTAGCGGCGATCGTGCAATCGTCCACATGGACGGCAATGACAATGAGAACTTGAGGCTTCTTGGAATGTTTGTAGAAGACTGCCTGATCGACTTTGCACTGCTGGAAACCGAGGCTGCTGAGGATACTGACGAACTTCTGGTACCATCGACGGCCTGCCTGTTTAAGGCCGTACAAAGACTTGCGGAGGCGCAGATCGCGGCCGGAGGCGTCCTCGCGATAGCCCGGGGGATGACGCATGTAGAGAACCTCATCGGGCATGAGCTCGCCGTTGAGGTACGCACCCTTGATGTCCACCTGGTGCAGCTCCAGCCCGAGGCGATTCGCCATGGCTATGACGGCACGCGACGATGCAAGCCGAGCGACGGGGGCATAGGTGTCGAAGTAATCGACTCCTCCAAGACTCCCTCCACCAGGCTAAACCCCTGCACGACGAGGCGTGCCTTGTACCTGCCTGAAGCATCCTTCTTGGTCTTAAAAACCCACTTAGAGCCGATGACGTTGGCTCCGGGGGGTGCGTGTTCAAGCGTCCAGATGCCAGCGGCATGGAGCGCGATGGCTTGGCGATGGAGTGGCGATGGCTTGTTCCCAGAGCGGCCAGTCGGGCCGGCGCTTTGCCTCTGAGTCAGCAGTCTCAGCCGTCTCGACTCCGACCTAACTCTCTCGGAGGGAGGGCAAACCGCCTTCGACAACCCACGACATATCGATGGACTCTTCCTCGTCACCCTCTGCAAAGCTCCCAGGGACTGTAACACCCCTAGGTAAGACAGGATCAGAGCGACGTGTGGAGCCGACACCGACACCAGCTTGGAGCTCTCGCACGATGCAGGATGGTTTGCGAAGACGCGTGGCACGCGCAGGCTCAGGCTCAGGCTCAGACGCAGGCAACATTGCCTCGACTCCGGACAGTGACGACAGCAACGATAGTGGGGACGGCGGGTCAGGCACGGGGAGTGGCTGAATGGGTGGTGGAGGCGCGGGCAGCAACAGCGGTGCGGCGTGCGGCTCGCTTGGCGAAGTTGAGGAGGTGGGTACGTCCATATGCTCCCCCTCGAGCCGCTCGGCCGCGGCGAAATACACGTTCCGCTCGACGCCGACTGACTTGTTCGTAGGCCAGTACACGTGGTGACCGCGCGACTCGACGTCGAATCCAATCCAGTGCCCCACGCGCGCTCTCGGTGCGAGCTTAGAGCCGTCCGGGTCATCCACCTAGACCTGCTCACCGAAACCCTTCAGCCCGGACAAGTCGGGCGGGGACCCATACAGCGCCTGCCAAGGCATGTCGCCGCCCAGTGCCTGCGTCAAGGTGTGATTCTTCAGCCAAGTGGAGTGCCTCAAAGCCTCCCCCCACATGCTCTGGGGAAGGTTCGCCGTGTGAAGCAGCGCTCGGACCTTCTCGACAAGGGTACGGTTGAGGCGCTCGGCCACGCCGTTCAACTGCGGCGTGTCGTAGACGGTGAGTCGACGCGCGGTACCGGCAGCTGCGAGATACTGATCGAACTTAGCATTCAAGTACTCGCCGCCGCGGTCCGAGCGCAAGACGTTGATGGCGTCGCAGTGATTCTGGGTCTTCGCCCACGCCTCGAAGTGGCGGTAGAAGGTGAGCACATCGCTCTTGGCGACTAGAAGGTAGGTGAAGGTAAAGCGTGGCATCATCCATGAACGTGACAAAGTAGCGCCGTCCACGACGAGTCGCCACCGGAGCGGGGCCCCAGACGTCAGTATGTATCTCAGTCGCCGAAGTTCTGGGCTTGCGGGCTAACGCGTATCTTAGGGATGGGCTGACGTGTAGCGCGCGCGAAGATGCACGCCTCGCAGTGCTCTTCCCGCGAGTTCGGGTCGAGCGCGATGCCGGTGACAAGGCCATCGCTGACGAGCTTGCCCGCGCTGGCGGGCGCGATATGCCCCATGCGGCGGCGGAGCTCCATGACGCTCACTACCTCGACGGCGTACACACTGTCCTCCTGGGAGACGCGGTACAGGCCTCGCGTTGTCCGCGCGATGCGTGCGAGACGATCGCCGACGCTCGAGTGGATGTCGAGGTGCCCGTCGCCGATTGCAATGCGGTAGGAGGGTCGGGCATAGTAGCAGCGAAGGCAGGGCTTATAACCTCTTACGAGGTATGGACGATACGGAAGTGTGTTAGAACGAGAAATAGATTCGTTAATGAGAAGACAAGAGCTATCGAGCGACAGAAATAACAGACCGAGACACTAGATACGAGGACTCGCGCGGGTTTGCACAACGTCCACACGAGCAGGGCGAGAAATAAACGATAAGGCAATAATAGAACTCAC